CACATTGTCAGCTGACCTCTTTGGCAAGTAACCAAGATTGTTTTGTTTGCTTACAAATTGCTGTTGCAAAGAATGTTTTCTCATCGGAGGAAACCAAATTCGGCAGTTCACCACTTTCGGCCATGGGAAGCATCTCTTTAGCTCTCTTGAGTCTATTTTCTCTCTGTTGCGGTATAAGTTTTTGTACTTTTTGGAATTTCAATGGCTTTACTCCGAGCTCACTTTTCAATAATTGCCGAATGGAATATTGCGATATGTTCAGCTCACGAACAATTTTTCGGTCACTGGCACGGCCACGCGGGTTTCGATGAAGTGGCTTCTTTACGTTTCGCACCATTTCTGCTGATGTTGCTGTTTTCTTCCGTCCACTTCCTTGACGTCGGGCTATGCTACCAGTATCACGGTAATGAGAGATGGTGCGAGACACAAAAGATTTATTCACATTTAAATGCTGGAGTGCTCTAACGATAGGCTCTTGTGGGTTTCCAACCAAATCTGAAGAAATCACACTATAACGCTTGATTTCCATCACGAATAACTGGAAAATTCTCACCAAAATGCTTTTGTACGCTTTGAGCTGTCACATTTTAACAGCTGTCGGACGAGTGGCTTAGAAATGACAACAGTCTGAAGTTGGTTGCAGTTTTTTCATCAGTTCTTTCACCCTGTATTTAGTGCAGCTCCCGTAACAAAAGAATTTATTTGAAGTAGATCCTACCACCTATCAACATTTGGTTTTAGAGCAGTTATAGTTTGTTTTCAAAGGGAACTAATATATGGGAAGCACATCCAATTCTTAATCGATTGTCATTAAATTTGACGGAGACATTTTAATGTTTTATACTAAATAACATTGCTATAGAGTAATCACTTCGAGAAGGATTATATTCAAAAATATATATCGCAGCCGAGTTCCACAAAAAGGAAACGTACGTGCCATTATTTGGCAGAGGTATTTCCGAGCTCTATGAGATATCTGGTACCAAATATCACTGTTGTTGAATGGATATTACGAATGTGAGGGACTTAAACGCCAAATCGGACGAAACGCCAATTTGGACCGATTTTCCAAATTTGTAGACTGAATTCGGTCGGACGTACTAAGATTCAGGACTTTTAGGCAGATATTGGGCATTTGGTGCACAATTTATATGAAAATATATAAATATGGGAGCTATATCCAAATCTGAACCGATCTTCATAAAATTTGTGATTCTATGAAGATCTTCTAAAGCAACTATAGGTCTATCTCGCTTATTTCTCCCTATTACAAAAAAAAGCACAAAAACTTAAGGTGGTGTAGGGTATAAAAATTCCTACTACTGTAAGTGCATCTCTTTGAAGCTATCAGCGTTTTAACATGGAGAAGGAAGCGAGATAGACCCATAGTTACTTTTGAGGATCTCCATAGAATCACTTTCTGAGTTGATTTATGCATGTCAGTCCGTCTGTCCGTGTATTCTTGTGAACAAAATACAGGTCGCATTTCTTATCTGATTGAGATGAAATTTTCCAAACAACATTTGTTTGGCCCAAGAACGAACCCTATTGAAATTGGAGATAATCGGTAAAAATTTAGATATAGCTCCCATATATATCTTCGTCCGATTTGCCTTTTATTGTGCACCAAGCGTTTAATATTAGCCCGAAATGCATGGAATTTTGCACATACAACCAAATTAGGCCTGAAAATACGTATGCCAAATTTGATCGAAATCGGTTCAGATATAGCTATAGCTCCCATATATATTGTTCATCCGATTTGTTATTTTTGTCCTCCGCAGCCGTAATATACACTCTGTAACAACAATATTTGGGGAAATATATCAAATACAGCTCAGAAATACCTTTGCTAAATTTTATCGAGATCGGTTCGGATTTGGATATATCTACCATATATACCTTCGTCTGATTTACCTTTTATTCTGCACCAAACGTCTAATATTTGCCCAAATGGGATGAAATTTGTCACTTACGACCGAATTGAGTCTTGAAGATAGTATGTCAAATTTGGTGGAGATCGGTTCAGATATAGCTATAGTCCTCATATATATTGTTCATCCGATTTGTTATATTTGTTACCCACAGCCGTAATATGCACTCCGTAACAACGATATTCAGGGAAATATATGAAATACAGCTTAGAAATATCCTTGGCAAATTTTATCAGGATCGGTACAGATTTGGATATAGCTCCCATATATATGTTTATCCGATTTCAAATTAATTGTGTACCAAATGGGCAATACAAGTCCGAATTTAAGAGATACAAATGCTTCGGCATATTTAGTCCATTGAACTTTAAATTATAATTATAATCATAGCGTGTATGATTGAATTCTCCCATAAAAACTTTTAATTGTTATGCCGAGCTCTACTAAATTAGCAAAGTGGTGTAGGGTATCATAAAGTCGGCCCCGCCCGACTTTAGGACTTTCTTTACTGGTTTGTATTTGATTTTTCTCAAATTGCAGTAAATGTAGTTCAGTATTTACGGGTGGATCAAATTTGGTACTCCCTTTAAAAGCTGTCGTATCGATTGATATATGTCTGGTATAGCCAGACATTCAGACATTGGGAATATTCATTAAATTAGCCCATAAATTCTCTTCGATCGAATTAAAATTTACAATTTTATAAATTTTGAAATCCTAAATAGATGGAAAGTTATTTGGAACCTTCGATATTTTTTGTACCGAATGTATACCTCCAAAACGTTGTCTCTTTTGATGAATTCCCGTATGATTTACATTACAAACTCTCTTTAACTGCTGCTAACGACCCTAATAACAGATTGACATAATTACTCATTTGGACATTTGGGGCCTCCATTTACGTTGCATGCGATTAAAGCGAATGAATGAATGAATGAATCATTTTAGGTTTTATTTTTCATTTCATTTCATTTGTTGTCGTAATTTGTTTCAACAACAACAACTTAAACAAAGCAATATTTGTTTATATTCCCTCGATCGCGATAAGCCAACGAATCACATTTGGCTGTATTTCATTTCACTTTGCACTGAAAAAAATAATTCACCTGTACGACACAAGGGATTCCTACGTTATCAGAACGTTGAGTACCCAACCCGGCGGACGCTTATCAGTTGAAGCGATTTGCCACTTTGGCAATCTTTGTTTATATCGATGACGAGATAATGTCAGAGGCATTAATGCTGATAAGAAACCACATAATGCTTTGGGGATCTGCACATGTTTGTGCAATGTTCGAATCATATCCAAATATAACAGGTTGAAATTATGTAGCCATGTACAGGTGCAGTGGGTCAAGGTTGGGTTCTTACCCGATTTTACAAATATGCATTCTACTTGGATATATATAAAAAGGGGGATAGAATGGGAATGGAGCTTTTAAATAGTCTTTAGACCCTCAATGAGAAGACCTCTTCTTCTTCTACGAGAAGACCTCTTCATCTTTTACGAGAAGGTCTCTTCGGGAAGCTCTTCTCTGGGAAGACCTCTTCGACTTCCCAGAGACCTCTTCGTCTTGACCTCTGCATCTTCCAGAAGACAACCTCTTCTTCTAAGGGAAGATCGCTTCGTCTTTTATGGAAATATATCTTCGTCTTCTCTTCTTTCGTCTCTTCTCTGAGGAGACCACTTTGTCTTCTCCGGAAAGACTTCTTCATCTTCTACGAGAGGACCTCATCATCTTCCATGAGAAGACCTCTTCGTCTTCCATTAGAATACCTATTTGTCTTCTTTGAGACAACCTCTTCGTCTCCTCTGAAAAGACCTCTTCGTCTTCTCTGAGAAGACCTCGTCGTCTTCTCTGAGAAGAACTCTTCGACTTCTATGAGAAGAACTCTTCGTCTTCTCTTCTACGAGCGTCTTCTTCTAGGAGAAGACCTTCAGCTTCTCTCGCAGAAGATCTTCATTTTTTCTCGCAGAAGACCTTCAGTTCTTCTCGCAGAAGACCTTCAGCTCTTCCCGCAGAAGACGTTCAGCTCTTCTGGGACAAGAACTTCAGCTCTTCTAGGAGAAAACCTTCAGCTCTTCTAGGAGAAGACCTTTAGCTCTTCTGGGAGAAGACCTTCAGTTCTTCTGGGAGAAGACCTTCAGTTCTTCTGGGAGAAGACCTTTAGCTCTTCTGGGAGAAGACCTTCAGCTCTTCTAGGCGAAGACCTTCACCTCTTCTAGGCGAAGACCTTCAGCTCTTCTAGGCGAAGACCTTCAGCTCTTCTAGGCGAAGACCTTCAGCTCTTCTAGGCGAAGACCTTCAGCTCTTCTAGGCGAAGACCTTCAGCTCTTCCAGGCGAAGACCTTCAACTCTTCTAGGAGAAGACCTTCAGCTCTTCTCTGAGAAGACCTTCAGCTCTTTTAGGAGAAGACCTTCAGCTCTTCTCTGAGAAGACCTTCAGCTCTTTTAGGAGAAGACCTTCAGCTCTTCTCTGAGAAGAACTTCAGCTCTTCTGGGAGAAGACCTTTAGCTCTTCTGGGAGAAGACGTTCAGCTCTTTTAGGAGAAGACGTTCAGCTCTTCTTGGAGAAGACCTTCAACTCTACCGGGAGAAGACCTTCAGCTTTTCTGGGAGAAGACCTTCAGCTCTTCTGGGAGAATACCTTCAGCTTTTCTGGGAGAATACCTTCAGTTTTTTTACGAGAAGACCTTCAGCTCTTTTAGGAGAAGACATTTAGCTTCAGAGAATCTTCAGCTCTTCTGTGAAAAGACCTCCAGCTTCTCTCTGAGAAAACCTTCAGCTCTTCTCTGGCCACTTTCTGAACAATCTGAGTTATTTGTTGGAACTCCCTAAGTAGACACAGTAGCCATCAAATCTCCCCATTGAATATCTCATCTGATCATCAATTATCATAAGTGATTACAGCTCAGCTCAATCAGACTTTACGCTTTTGTAGTGCGCTCACAATGTTGTATGAATGCAAGGCTTTGATTGAATTATAACACACAACAATAAGAATAGCAACAACAACAACAAAAAAGAACAACATCTGTCTATTCTATTCATTCCGGCTACTTACCACAGCATGAAGAATGCCACGCACTGTAATACCCACAGTGGGGGCAAATTCGATGCGGACTCCCGGTTCGATGATTAGTTTGGCACCCTTCTCGACGATGATGTGTTCGCGTGCCGCATAAGGACTTTCACTGGAACGTAGAACGCGGTCACTTGTTATGCTGCCACCACTCAACTCGGTGTATGTGGTTGTTGTTGTCGTCGATGATGATGATGAGGTTCCAACATCAGTGGCTGGGTTTGATGACATCAACGGTGGCACACTGTCATCATAGGAGAAAGACAATACATTTTCCTCCACGGCCTCCTGCTGCCGCCTGGGCGTTGAAGTTGTGGGCAAGGGTGGCGGCACGAAGTGCAACTGATTGTCGGCCCTAAAATCTGGGTCATCGGCGTCATATTGACTATTGGCACTCAGGAACTCGGATGATTCGTATAATTCACTATTTTGTGCATAGCCTGAGGAGGTGGGTACGGACGTGGCCAGTAGAAAGAGTAGCAGGAAGTTGAAAGCTATCAGTTGGATGGTTTCTAGGTACTTGTTGTTGTTGTTGTTGGTTTTACTGTTTATGATGGTATGATGACGACGCCTCGACGTCATATTGATTTTCTCGAAAAGAAGGCACTCCAATGCTTCGTTGTTGTTTTTTCTACTTTTTTTCGTTTCGTTTTCACTTTTTCTTTTCGTTGCGAATTTTTATTTTTTTTTTCTTCTTCTTAGAATAAAATTGGAAAACTTTTTATTTGGCTAAAATTTGAGTTTCATTGTTTAAAACTGGATTATTTTCCTTTAAAGGCCACATAATTGAGGAATTTTAATTTTTTTTTATTAATTTCAATATTTTCTTCTTCTTATATTTTCGTTGTTTTCTTCTTCAGGTAACTGAAACTGAAATCACACACACAAAAGAACGTTAAATAAAATAAATTTAATGGCATTTAATTATTTTTTGTTGGTTTGATGTTAGATTTTCTGGGGCGTTTAGCTTTAATATCCATGTTCATGTTACAGTTATTGTTTGGGTTGATGTTTTTTAACGGTAAATTTATTTTGTGCCACCCCCACACCAGTTGGAAGGGAGGGGGAGCTGTGGAAGTATATTTAATGCAAATTGTTTTTGGATGGATTTCTAAAATTCTGGCCTAAGGGGATATAGTTATATATCCCTTAAAGGAAACTTAAGTATATTGATTTGCATTGAGGGTCCACCATTGAGGGTCCACCATTTGGAACCAATTTTTACCGAATATAGCCGTTATATCGGGCTCGATACGACGTGAACGTACATAGGCATTGTTTGTCATAAGTCATTACCATATTCAAATTCGAAACTTCAAATAAACGGTGAATAATGTAGCTAAAATCGTCAAAATATCGCGTATAGGGAGGTACCGTTATATCGGAGCTGTGCGAAGGCCTGGACCAGCATAGACAATTTTCTGTCACAGGCTGTTGCATCCATTACGAACTTCAAATACGACATCTAAAACAATTTCGGTTGGTATTGTACCTAGACTCGTCAAAATACCGCATATAGAGATGTACTCATATATGGGGCCTATACGAAGACTTGGGCCTGCATAGGCAATATTCTGTCATAGGTTGTAGTATCCATTACGAACTTCAAATACCAAATTTGAAACAATTCCGGTTAATAATGTCGCTAAAATAATCAAAGTACCGAATATCGGGCGTTACTGATATATGGGGCCTATACGAAGACCTGGACCTGCATAGACAATTTTCTGTCTTAGGCTGTAGTATCCATTTCGAACTTCAAATACCAAATTTGAAACAATTCCGGTGAATAATGACGCTAAAATCATAAAAATACCGAATATCGGGAGGTACCGTTATATGGGAGCTATACGAAGACGTGGACCTGCACAGATAATTTTCTGTCTTAGGCTGTAGTATCCATTTCGAACCTCAAATACCAAATTTGAAACAATTCCGGTGAATAATGTCGCTAAAATCATCAAAATACCGAATATCGGGAGGTACCGTTATATGGGGGCTATATGAAGACGTGGACCTACCATTTACGAACTTAACCTGCCTACTGGGAAAATAAACATGTGTGCAAAATTTTAGCCTTCTATCTCAATTCGTTCGGAAGAGAGCGTAATTACAACAGACAGACGGACAGACAGGCAGACATGAGTATTTCGAGGAGTTACAAATCGAATGACGAAGTTAATATACCCTCCATAGTATGGTGGAGGGTATAGAAAAATATATATTTAATTTTCACCAACACAACAAGAAGGAGTAAAAAACAGCTAGGTTCGACAAGGCCGAAATCGCCATCATTTGAAAAAAAAAACTTTAACAACTTAAAATAAGAATCCGTCGAAAAATGCAAAAGAAACCCTTTATATGTGCCATATACAAAGACGTGGACCTGCATAGACAATTTTCCGTTGCAGTACCCATTACGAATCTTAAATAAAAAATTTGTAAAAATGCCGAATAATAATGTCGGGGGTAGTATTATATATGGAGTATGCGATATCGGGAACCTATATAGGCAATTCTATTCCAGGGAGTAAAGTACTCAGAAGGAGCCCCCTGTGTGGATTTTCAGACAATTCAATTGAAAAATGTGGCTACAATTTTTAAAATACCGAATATCGTTGATGATGTTTGTTATACTTTTCAACGGTATTATCTCAAATTAGGTTTAGAATTCGTATCAGGTGTCCCATTCCCAAGTACATAACTAGATATAGGGGTCCACGTTGTCGTATAGACCCCAAACAACGGTACGTCCCTATATTCGGTATTTTTATGAGTTTAGCTAGATTTTTTTCAAAGAATTGTATCAAATACGGAATTTGAAGTTCGCAATGAGTACTATTTTCCATGAAAGAAAATTATCCGTACAAATCCACGTCCGAAAATTAACTTTCATTTCAATCAAATTCATACGAAAAAAAAAAACACAGAAACCTGTATTTCAAAAGTAAGAAGTTCAGACTGCTGTCATTTCTAAGCCACTCGTCCGCCAGCTATAAAAATTTTTCCAGTGACAGCACATTATCTTGTTTACGAGTGTACAAAAACATTTTGGTGAGAATTTTCCAGAAAAAAAAGTTATTCGCTTTGGAATTCAAGAGTGGCAGTATGATTTCTTTATATTTGGCTGAAAAACCACAAGTGGCTATCGCTATAGCACTCCAGCATTTAAACTGAACTGATACTGAAAGTGTAGCCCGACGTCAAGGAAGTGGACGGAAGAAGCACAAATGGTTCGAAAAGTAAAGAAGCGATCGAAAACCGCGTGGCAGTGGCCGAAAAATGGCTCGTGAGCTGAACATATCGCAATATTTCATTCGGCAAATATTGAAAAATGAGCTCGGGGTAAAGCCATTGAAATTCCAAAAAGTGCAAGAACTTACACCGCAACAGAAAGAAAATAAAATCAAAAGAGCTAAAGAGTTGCTTCGCTTGGCCGAAAGTGGTGAATTGCCGAATTTGGTTTTTTCCGATGAGAAGACATTCATTGTCCAGCAAAGTGGTCAGCTGAAAATGTGCACCTTCGTCGGTTGGCCAGCAGAACTCAAGCTCCGGCTGTTATGGCGGTCCACACCATGTTGATGGTGGCGGTCCATAACAGCCGATGGTCGCTCTCCACTCGTATTAATCGACCGTTCCATCAGAATAAATGGCGAATATTATCGCGAATATATCCTGAAGGGTATATTAATGCCTTCGGCACGCAAACATTTTGGCCGCAGACCTTGGACATTCCAACTGAACTCAGCACCATCGCACTCAGCATGCGCCACCCAAGAATGGTTACAAAATGAGGTTCCTCGCTTCACTTCCAGCGCACAATGGTCACCAAAATCTCCATAGAGCGTCAAAAATTAGCAGAATAATTTGTATTGTATCTAGGTTGGTTGGTACTGAAAACGAGATATATCGGTCCACGTTTTGGTACAGTCGCAATATAACTGTATCTCCCAATATTCGTAATTTTGATGATTTTTGCCACATATTTTCCACGGATTTGCCTAAAAATTGGTATTTGTTGGTCATAATAGGTTCTAGCTCCGGTGGCGAAACATTGCGTGTATAGGTCTACGAGTTGGTATAGCCCCCATATAACTGTACCTCCCGATATTCGGTATTTTCATGATTTTTGTCACATGTTTTTTATGGATTTGTCTAAAAATTGGTATTTGTTGGTCATAATGGGTTCTATATCCGGTGGGGAAACATTATATGTATAGGTCCACGTATAGGCCCCCATATAACGGTACCTCCCGATATTCGGTATTTTGATAGGTTTTGTATCATTTTTTTTCACGGATTTGTCTAAAAATTGTTATTTGTTGGTTATAATGGGTTCTAGCTCCGGTGGCGAAACATTGTATATATAGGTCCACGTTTTGGTATAACTCCCCTATTACAATACCTCCCGATATTCGATGTTTTGATAAAAATTGGTATTTTTGGTTCACAATGGGTTCTATGGCCCAGTGACAGAACATTGAATATTTAGTTCCAGGCTTTCCTAAGGAAGAGGGTATTAAAAGTTCGGCCCGGCCGAACTTAATGTTGTGTTACTTTACAACCCACAAAAAACCGAAATGTTAAATTGCGGCTGATTTTTGTTGAAAATTGGAACAGAAACCGCGAAAATATTAAGAGGTACTTTTATATGAACCGATATATTCCAATTTTATACCAAACATCGTAGAAAGAATATCAATGCCTGTGAAGAAATTAAAATGTTCTATCTTTTATGCAACGAACTATATCGTGAATTAGCATACGGAACGGCATTTTATGTGGGGGAGGAATAAATATTCATTTCATTTTAGTATTTTAAAACCTATCGCTTCTTGCACTTCTTTGATTTTTTTATAATTGAGTAATAATGAATGTATCCAATGCGGTTATTTGTTTATTAAAAATAGTAATCCAGGGCCAATACACTATTCCGTTTCATTTAAATATTTTTCCACTTTTACTAATTTTTATGTCGCCACTTGGGTATATTTTTCTATTGAGAAAAACTTGTAATTCACTTCATTTTTGTTTTGATCTCTATCTTCACCTTTTTTACCCCAAAAATAAGGCCCACAAAAAAGCTCACACACGCACGCAACTCGCCCGAAATCGAAATGCAAATAAAAGAGAAATTTCCTAAAAAAGTTTTTCCACGTTTGTATTTTTAATTGCCTCTTTTTTATGATGTTTACACTTTTCATTAGGGTTCGAATCGTTTCGTTTTCTTCGTTTTGTCTGCAACACGTCTGTACGCAAACAACCGTTATTAACTACTAACTTGGGCCAAGCCAACAGACAGCCCGCCACTCAGTCAGTCACTCCCCAAAAAGTTGCATCAAAAGAACTTTTCAAATGAAATGAACTTAAGTCGCTGTTCGATTGGCGACGTCTCTTCAATTTTCACGACATAACCAGAGCTCCAACCGTTATTTTTGCCTCAGTTCACTCTCTGTTGTTCTCCACAAAAAGTCCCCAACACACACATTCACACACTTCCATATGCACACAAAACATAACAAAAGCAACAGCAACAGCAGCAATAATAACAACTGCTCCACACACCGGAGTACGAAGGCACACAGTCGGGTCGTCATCGTAGTAAACAATAACAAAAACAAACCTCGCCGCACTGGGTGATGATGACGACATCGAAAAAACGAAATTCTTTCCCCATTAAAAGAAAGCTAGTAAAAGTTTTACTCCCAACGCCAGCTCTTCACTAAAAAGGTCTCCCAATGCTCTCTGTTTATCATGGCATTACATTACGGGTTTGTTTATCACAAAAATAGTTGGAGTTTTTTTCTCTAAAGTGTGGGTATAGTGGGAGAACTGGGGAGTTTTACAAAAATAACTGTATTTTTTGTTGAATATTAATGAGCTTATGTTTTGTTGTTGTTGTTTGAAAGGTGCCCATATGCATTTTGTTCATCAAAACAAATAAAATGTATTGGCCATAACAGTTCTTTTGTCAGTGGGGTCCATAAATTGTGATATGTTTGTATGTCATGTGTGTTCCTGTTGGCATTTATGTAAAATATGAATTTTTTTGTGTGCCGCTTTGTGGCACCTCTGACATAATTTTGGGAGAAGAATAAACATAAAACGGCAATAATTTTTTTACGAACTTTATGTATCTACCAATAAGAAGAAAATTCGTATTTATTTAAATCTTGACCGTAGTTTTATATTTAAAATTCCCAGCCTTTTGGAAAGACAAATATGTTCAGAAATGAGATTCATGGATATAAAATAGAAATGGCTTTAATGATTTATATATTTCGAAATTGGATTGATGCTCCGTGGTAGACGAATCTTAGGAAGGAACAAAAATTTCACTCTCAAAAATTTTTTTCCATGCCTCCTGGAAATTTTCATTTCATTCTTGAAATAGTGTCACATAGTCCTGCAAAAGTTGTATCTTGGCTTTTGACCGAAACCACGGGGAAATGCAAATCTTCGCAGTATTTGCCCTATTTTTACGACCTATGTTGTGTTAATGGATATTCAAATCAATATTTAGAAACATGGATTCCTCCATATGATTTGCTTTATCTCCGATACTTGGTTTTCATGTATTTCAGATTTCGTTAATTTTGGTACTTTTTTAGTCAAATATTATCCGAATACCATTAAGAATGCTAGGTCATAAAAAGTATCATGTCTATTGGTCCTTTGTTGAGAACTGTAGGGCAACTGCAAATTGTTAGACCTCAAATATTTTGCGAACCTCTTCCAAAACAATTGTTTTTTTCTGATCCATACAAATCGGACGACATGAACTGACCTTTTCGTGTATTTGTATTCGCTGAGATTATAAATACTCGTAGTTTAATGTAAATTTTCGTAACTTTTATACCCTCAGCCATATGGATAGAGAGGATATACAGGGTGAGATAAAAGTCAAGCGCCATCATTTTTACATTTTTTTTAATTTAATTAAATTAAAGCAAAAAATGTCGGAAATAGCATCAAATTTTAGAATAAGTTTAGATTTTTTGGAATTGGTAACCTTTGACACTAATTATGGCCTTCAAACGACCATAAAACCGTTAGACCTGCCAGAATGTTGCTTTGCGGTATTTTGGCCCACTCCTGGCGAAGCGCTTGCTTCAGGTGATCTACACTTTGGTATTTTTTAGTACCAACCTTACTTTCCAAAATACTCCAGACACAATAATCCAACGGATTGGTATCCGGAGATTTTGGTGGCCATTGTGCACTGGAAATGAAGCGAGGAACCTCATTTTGTATCCATTCTTGAGTGGCGCATGTTAAGTGCGATGGTGCTGAGTCCTGTTGGAATTTCAATGGCTTTACCTCGAGCTCATTTTTCAATATTTGCCGAATGGAATATTGCGATATGTTCAGCTCACGAGCCATTTTTCGGCCACTGCGACGCGGGTTTCGATTAAGTAGCTTCTTTACTTTTCGAAACATTTCTGCTGATGTTTCTGTTTTCTTCCATCCATTTCCTTGACGTCGGGCTACACTACCAGTTTCATGTAATCGGTAACGAGCGATGGTACGAGACACAAAAGTTTTATTCACATTTAAATGCTGAAGTGCTCTAACGATAACCACTTGTGGTTTTCAAGCCAAATATAAAGAAATTTCACTATCACTTGAATTTTAACAGCTGTCGGACAAGTGACTTAGAAATTACAGCAGTCTGAAGTTGGTTGCAGTTTTTTCATCTCACCCTGGATATCATTTTATACGGCCAAAAAGTACCTAGAAGAAATAACGGTTTTAGGCCCTAGGTCTCTTTGAACCAAATCCGTTTCAGGACATTTGGAGTCTATCTAGCGATGTCTCTCCGTCCGTCCGACCGGCTGTCGAGCTGGCTGGTGCGCACGATAACTCTCGAAGTGAGTATCCGATTTGATTCAAACTTGATACATCGTAATATTATTATTGTCAAACTTAGATCGAGTTCGAAGATGGACAATACCGGTCCACTCCTTCAGGTACCTCCCCCGCAAAGGGTCCACATTTTCAAAATAAGTAGTTTACTGCACAGACAGAGAAATGATACTCCGATTTTGCTCCAACTTTGTAAATCATAATATTTTCATCAGAGCTAGGTCAGGTGCGAAAATGGACAATATCGGTCTACTCCATCAAGAACCTCCCCACAAACGGTAAAAATTTTAAATAATTATAACTCTTAAAATGTGATATAGGAGTCCCATAGTCTTCAAATTACACACACCACAATATTTTTATTAACCCAATGTCTGGTGTGAAAGTGGAATATATCGGTTCACTCCTTCTGGTAGGCTCATCAAACGCTAAATTAACAACCTATTCCATTCAGATTTGGCACATCTCAATATTTTCATCAACAAAATATCTGTTATAAATAGGGTAGAGATCGGACCATTTCTTCTGGTACCTCCCCCACAAAGGGTCATTGTTTTGAATAACCAAAACGATTATAAACTCCGAAATAAGCTCTCGACTCTCTTCATATTTCATACATCTTAATATTTTTACTAAAACCAGATCTGCTGTGAAGATGGGATATATCAGTCCACTCCATCTGGTACCTCCCCACAAAGGATCAAAAATTTTGAATATCCATGAAGCTCATAAAAAGCGAAATTAACATCCGATTCCATTTCAGACTTGTTACATCTCAAAATTTCCACCAACACAAGATCTGTTATAAAGGTGGTAGAGATCCGACCATTCCTTCTAGTACCTCCCCCACAAAGGGTCAAAGTTTTGAATAAAACAACAAAAAAAAAACGATTATAAAATCCCTTCATATTTCACACATCTCATTATTTTTACTAAAGCCAGAAGCATCCAATTCTCTCCGAATTTCACACATACAAATATTTTTGTTAACATTTGATCTTTTTGATCAATTTTATCTGTTGTGAAGATGATATATATATCTGCGAACCCCTTTTGGTACCTCACTCACAAAGGGTCACAATTTTCAATTCTCTTATCTGTCATTACTTGCGAAATAAATCGACGAATTTTTACAAGTTACTACATCAAAATATTTGTCTCTCAACGAGAACCCTGAGATGAATGTGGAATTTATGATTTCGCATAAAATTGGATATAAATGTTCGAAGTTCTTATAATTTTGCTCATACCAATGTTTTTATCTGTATTAGATGAAGTATGGAAATGGAATTCTTCCTTTGACTATATGTGGTACCTCACGCACATTTTAATATTTTCTAAAAAAATTTCACATATCTCATATAAAGTGAAGGAAGAAGTCGATATAGTCCAGACGTGGCACCTCGCAATATTTACATCATTTTTACTTAGCTCCAGTACGAAATGGTCAATATTGGCCATTTTTTCGGAACCAACGCCATATAAGGCCAACAACTTGAATAATCATAACAGAAGTGAAAATATATTTAAATAATCGAACATTGGCAAATAATCGAACATCTGTCGGCAAAACCGACTGATATCTTTTCACATATTAATATTCTATTTTTATACCCTACACCACATAGTGGTAGGGTATAAAAAAAGGGTATAAAAAATAAAAGTGCATGTCAGTCCGTCTGTCCGTGTATTCTTGTGAACAAAATTCAGGTCGCTTTTATTATCCGATTGAGATGAAATTTTCCAAACAATATTTGTTTGGCCCAAGGACGTACCTTATTGAAAATGGAGATAGGCGGTGAAAAATTAGATATAGCTCCCATATATATCTTCGTCCGATTTGCCTTTTATTGGGCACCAAACTTGTAATATCAGCCCGAATAGTATGGAATTTTGCACATACAACCAAATTAGGCTTGGAAATAAGTATGCCAAATTTGATCGAAATCGGTGCAGATATAGCTATAGCTCCCATGTATATTGTTCATCCGATTTGTTATATTTGTTACCCACAGCCGTAATATGCGCTCCGCAACAACGATATTCAGGGAAATATATCAAATACAGCTCAGAAATACATTTGCTAAATTTTATCGAGATCGGTTCAGATTTGGATATAGCTCCCATATATAACTTCGTCCGATTTACCTTTTATTGTGCACCAAACGTCTAAAACGCCCAAATGGGATGGAATTTGGCACATACGACCGAATTGAGTCTAGAAGGTAGTATGCAAAATTTGGTGAAGATCGGTTCAGATATAGCTATAGCTCCCATATATATTGTCCGATTTGTTGTATTTGTTACCCATAGCCGTAATATGCACTCCGTAACAACGATATTCAGAGAAAAAATGTCCAATAGTTTCCAATTTGGATATAGCTCCCATATATATTTTTATCCGATTTCAAGTTAGTTGTGCACC